CGGCTATTTAGTGTTTTAATTTCTATAATTCAGGGAGAGGCAACTACCTCAGCTGTAAAAGCCATCAGTGGGCCTTCCTCTGAGATCATGTTCAAACCCACTTGGTCTGTGGCCAAATCCACAGGGAGCAGAGGCACACACAAAAACCAGGATTTCTGCAGCTCTGTCTCTGAGAGTAGCCCTGGGGAAATCACTCAGGGACACCTCCCATTGAATGGACTATGAAGGTTAGGATGATACTTCCTCTTTCTTCCACAAAAAGAGCCTCGGATATGGAGTCAAATGTCTTGGATTCCAGTGTCAGCCCTAACCTTCATTAGTTGTATAACCCTGGGATAGTCACTTAAGCTCTGAGCCTCAGTTTCCTCATCTGTAATGTGGGGATAACAGTACTTGCATGCTTAAATGTAAGGAGTTGTTGTGACTAAATGGAAATATTATTATCACCATCAGGATTCTACTATAAGCATCATAAGCACCACTTCCATGGGCATGCATAGAGCATGGACTGATTGTATCAGAGTGTGCAAAACACTTTGTCCAGGCTTTGTGTACACCTATGAGGATGATGACGATAACTGCTACTGTTGTCTGACTGTGAACTCCATGAAATAATAATAATACTTTTAGTTGTTCAGTCATTTTTTCAGTTGTGTCCAACTCTTCGGGACCCCATTTGGGGTTTTCTTGGCAAGAATACTGGAGTGCTTTGCCATTTCATTCTCCAGTTCATTTTACAGATGAGGAAACTGAGGCAAACTGAGTGAAGTGATTTCCCCAGGGTCACACAGCTAGTAAGAGTCTGAGGCTGGATTTGAACTCAGGAAGAGGATTCTTTCTGATTCCAGTACTGGCACTCTGTGCACTATGGCACCACCTAGCTGTCCCATCATCATCATCATCATCATCATCATCATCATCATCATCACAATGACAGTAATAGAGATAGCACCTTAAAGTTTGCAAAATAATTCTTACCTTTAAAACTATGACTTTCTTACCCTGAGAGTGGCTAAGTATTGTTGATGACATGAAATAAATGTAATTTATTCCCACTGCCGGTCAGTGGGTAGGTATATGCCTGGCGTATAAGTAGGTACTAAATACTAGCAGCTCACATTCCTGTAGCATTTAAGGTCTGCAAAGCACTTTCCATATGTTATTTCCTTTAATTCTCACAACAACTCTATGAGGTAGGTAGGTAGGTAGATACTATTAGTAGCCCCATTTTACAGATGAGGAAACTGAGGCTGACAGGGTAAATGACTTTCCCAGGGTCAAGTGGTTAAAAAGTGCCTAAGACAGGATTTGAACTCAGGTCTTCCTGACTCTGTATGCAACACTATTCTCACTGCATTACCCAGTTGCCCCAAGTACTCTCCTCTCCCCACTTCCTACAGACCAAAAGAAAGAAAAAAAAAAAAGAATTCTTTGATACTTACTACCTGTATGGCAGTGGGCTAATATTACACTTAATCTCCCTGGGCCTCAGTTTCCTTTTCTGTAAAATGAGGGGGTTGGGCTAGATGAGCTCTGAGCTAGAGCTGCAATCCTACATTCAATGTACAATACACAAGAAGGGGCACTGGGCTGGCCAGTTTACTTCTTGCCAGAGGTGGAAGGGACCTCGGTGGCCTCCTCGCCTCACTGGGACCTGAATTAGGGTTCCTTCTCCAGGACCCCTGCCACCTAGTCATGCCATTTTTGCCTCAAGACCTTTCTGCCACTCCCTGCCAGGTCAGTCCTTTCATCTAGGGCCCTCATAGCTTCCAGGGATGTGTATTTGTTTGTTTCATGGATTTTGATGACATCGAATCATTTCTTCTTCAGTCATTTGGGATTCTTCTTCCAAACTTCTCTAAACAGTTTAAACTTTGGCAATTATTTGGATCATACAGACTTTGAAAAAAAAAACAGCAGGGAAAATCCCAGGGTTTGTTTCTGCCCTCAGTCTGGGGGTGGGCTTTACAGAATCTAAATCATAGAGTCTGGGCTGGAAGGGACATTGGCAGGCATCTACTCTATTCCTTTCATTTTACAGATGAGGAAACTGAGGGAACTTAAGTGACTTGCCCAGGATCACACTGCTAGACAGTGTCTTTGGTAGGATTAGAACTCACATCTTCCTGAGTGAAGTCTAATGTGCTATCCACTATACCAAGCTGGTGGGGCCATTTCACTGGACAGTGACTTTCACAGAGAGCCCAGGAGAGTCTCCTGCCCCAAGATCTGAGCTACTCAGTCTGCCAGCATGAAGTCTTGGCCCTCTCTTCATTACTAAAGCCCTGGTTAACTTTCATTGTTTACTGTACAGCTGCTGGTGAAGAAGATGGGAAACTGGACCTGATGCAGGAGGCCAGGATGGGTGACAAACTCCCTGTACCCAGAACATCATGAGCTATGAGGCAGGGGAGCAATCTCTCTTCCTTCCTTCTTTCTTTCTCTTCCTTCCTTCCTTCCTTTCCTTCCTTCCTTCCTTCCTTCCTTCCTTCCTTCCTTCCTTCCTTC